TTTATATAAATTAATGGTTAAAATATATATTAATTACATTTTTAATATGTGCCAAGACACAAATTAAAAAAATTCGTTATAACAAAAACTAGAACCATACTAAATAGCCCTTTACTTCTGAGTTCGAAAAATCTTCATTTTTTCTTTCTTGGGTGTTCTCTATTTGTTAGGGAATGTTAGGTTTGTCCCTTTCCTAGAAAAAGGAATCTGGGAAAGTCAAGCCACAAAATTGTTTTGGCTTGGCCTAAGATTTTGATTTAATTAATTGGTACAAAAATCAAACAAAATTTATAACTGGTTATAAATTCATTTTAGATAAATATGGATATAATTATTTACTTTTAATTGTTATTGAATTATATTACCTGGAAAGTTTTAATTTTCTGGAATTTTTTTTTTTTGGGAATGAGTTTTCAAACTTCTATAATCAATTGCCATAGTTAGCAATTACTTATATCCACCTTTTTAGAAAGACTACATATCACAAACTAAGTCGAAAATAATTTTGGCTTAACTTTCCCAAATTCTATATTTAGGAGAAGTGGTCAATCAAACACACCTTTAATGTTTAAAAGATTATTACGAGTATATGAATATGTTCACCGGAGTTTAAAAAACACTTACTTTAAAAGTAATTAATTCTTTGATAAATTTAAAATTTTGTTAGAATAAAATTCTAACAAAATTTAAAAATTGACTTTTAAAGTAGCTTTTAGTCAAAACCTAACATTAAGTTCTTAAATTTATTTTAAATTCTTGATTAAATTCTTAAATTTTTATTAAAGTAAATAAACTCTTAAATTTGTCTACTGAAAAATTTAACTATTTTTCATATTATAAGTTTAACACTCATTTATACTTTTCTTGCGTGGACAAGATCAATTCTTACCGCATATATAATAATATGTCCACATAAATGATATAGAAACTGATGTTAAGTTTATCATTAAAAGAAATATTAAATTACTTAAATTGCTTTATTTAAATCATTTACTTAGTATTATTGTTGAAAATAAAATTAATTTTTTATTTATATAAATTAATTATAAAAAGTATCATAAATGTACTTTGGATATACACTATAAAGTTATAAGTTAGAACCC